ACACTGCTTCAGAGCATCAGCTTTCTCTACTTAAGGGCGTTTTCAGGGAACTGCCGCGCTTTCAGCCTGGAAAAGACCCCCCCCAGATGGGGGGGGGCCCCACCCCCCCCCCTGGGGGAGTTGCAGCCAACACATCTGGACCGTCCCTGCTCCCAGAAGGCTTCCTGGGGGCCCCCGCAGGGCCTACCGTCGCCTTGGCGGTGAGGAAAATCGCATCCGGGTTGATGCTGGAGACTTCGGGTGAACTCTTCATAATCACCCGGATCCGCGACAAAGGTAACGACACCAACCGGTTCTCGCCCCCGGCAGCGGCTCCGCTCCCTCTCGACGCCATCTTCCGCCTTCTCGGATGAGGACCATACACTCTCGCGCGCTTACCGCCGGAAGAGCCGCATCACCTTTTGGGACTTGTAGTTCCCGCCCGCCGCTGAGCCGCCGTTGCTGGGGTAGAAAGAACTACGAACCCCAGGAGCACCTTGCGAGCACAGCTTAACTAGAACCCCTGCGTCGTTGCTTGGCTTCACTGGAGCCAATCGGAGCGCTCTAGGTTGGAAGACTGCGCGTCCCAGAAGGCAGTTCGCTCAAAGAGGGCGGAGACGTCCCAGAGAAAAGGGCAGAGTGGGGGCTGCGTTGCCTTCGGCGCCTCGTTTAACCCGCTTTCGTGCCTTAATCCGGGCACCGGCCTTCAAACAATCCCCGCTAAGCTAAAGAAAAACGAATGCAGCTGTCAGGAGGTTCCGGGAAAATTGCCAGCCATCTTCCCGCCTCAGCCTTCCGATAGTTCCATCGGAGCAGCTGGCTGTGGGTGATGGGTGTGCAAGTCGCACCTCTGAAGGGGAAGCGCTCCTTGGGTGCGAGTGGGACCAAACAGGCGTACAAACGGCCATCTCCAGGCCTCTGTATTAAAGCATAATGAGCGGAATACTCCCGCTCCCTCAGGAGGCCGACCGTTGGATTCTAACGGCCGCTCGCGCTCGCAGCAAGCCACCGCCAAAAGCCTCGCGTGGGGGCCTCGCGCGCAGGCGCGGGCTGGCGGCTGCGCAGTGAGCCGCCGCCCGCCCCGCCCTCCGTCTTCAGCGATCGGCAGAGCAGAGGAGGCGGAGCTATTACGTCGCCCCGACTGTGGTGGGTGAGCCGCTGGAGCCCCCGAGCGGGGCGGGCGAGGGG